ATTTATAATCACAACAGAATGATAAATTATCGATGTTATTTACTTCTGCATTTAAATAAGGTCAATTATTGAATACTGAGAATTGTTTTATTATTTTAGTTATTATTTTGGTTTGGGGCCACGACTGGCTGTGCTCAGGGCTTACTGCTGGCTCTGACCAGGGGTCGCTCCTGGCTGTGATTGGGAGATCATAGCAGTGCTGGGGATGGAACTCAGGTCAGCCACAGGCAAGCCAGGACTTTTACCCTCTATCCCATCTCTCGAGCCACCTGAATATCTAAAACTGTTTTAAATTTGAGATTAATTATTGATATTGGAGTTCTCATATTTACTTTATACACAAAAATAATCAAACTGGTGTTTTCAGAATTTTGTGTGGTGAATCATAATTGACTATAAAAGCATTTTAGAGATTAACTCTTAGAATGGCTTTGAGGTTTTAGGAAACTTGGGACAGTGAAAGTTTATCATGAGCCCCTGTGTCCAGTTTTTTCTACTATTGACATTTGCCACTAGTATTGTGCCTTTGCTACAGTTAATGAGCCCAAACAATTCTTTTGTTATTTAAGTATAGAGAGAATACAAGGAAAATCATTCTGTGATATAAGCTTTTAAGTGACTATTTGGTCCTTTTTCAGTGTTGTCATGCTATGCTGAAAAGCAATGTTCTGCTGCCACCTACTGTTCTGAATAAATATATTATTAAATTATTTCACATCCCCCTCCCCATTTATCATTTATCATAGGATCTCAGAAATATGTTTCCTTCCTGTTCATCTGTTAACCACCTCAACAAATAGATGCTGGTGTCAGGGACATGGATCAGTGGTAGGGAGCTTGCTTGCATGTGTCAGGGCTGGGTTAGATCCCCAGAACCTCATGGTCCCCTGAGCACAGCCAGGTTTAACCCCTCTCCCCCAAAACAACCAAACAGAAAAAAAATAGATGTTTATTATGAAGCTCAGAGAGGCCAAGTTTCACAGGAACTATTGAATAATCATTGATTTATTCGTGTATTCATCAAGAAATTACTTTGAAAGATGATGACGATACAAAGATGAAAAAGACACAGTCACATGCTTCAAAGATCTCACAGTTCAGCTTGCTCTTCAAGCCTTCATTTGCTCTTGAACACGAATTTTACTTGCTTCTCCCTATGTCGCTTTGATTCAACTCTGAAGAAGCCCATGTTTTCTCTTGAACACATATTTCCTCTGTCCGTCTCTCTGTCTGTCTCTCTTTTTTCCTCTCTCTCTCTCCCTCTACCTTCACATTCTTCAATAAAAAATATCCTGCTTCACCAAAACGCAAACAAACAAACAAAAAGCCTACCAAGCCCCTCACAGTTTAGTGGAAATGTAAGAATGATGCTCATTAAGCCATATAATGAGTACAAATGCTTCAAGTGATCTGGAAGCCCAGACAAGAAGACTCAGTTTTCTCAGACTGAAGGTGGAGTTCATGACAGCTTGGGAGAGAATTGGAGGTGCTGGTATGGACGCTTATGAGGGGAAGTGAAGGAAAGAAAGGAGGAAACTATCCCAAATACTTATGAGTAATCACGATATTGAGTAGTGCCAACTCTGGTGTCAGACCGCCTGCAGTGAAGTCTGGCTTTGCCACTCAGGGTCTCTTTGCCATAAAGAAGATAGTGTGCAATCCTCAACAGGGCCACAGGAAGCACCTAATCACACATAGCCAACTCCCAGCAACTTTAAGAATGATACTATTATCATTCTTACATTAGAGGAGAGCAAAATACTACAAAGAGTTTTATTTTTAAAGAATGCATAATGCTTTTTGTTTGTAATACAGTAGTTCTCAATGCCACATTGTTCAATATCATAACACTGATAAGTAAAATATATGACCCCCTGCCAATATTAATGCACATAAGTTTTCCTTATCCTTTTGCTTAAAGTCTAAAGCCCCGATTTCTAATATGTACTGTCTACATTTGGCACAACGGGTAGGGTATTTGCCTTGCATGTGGCCAACCCGGGTTTGATTCCTCCACCCCTCTTGGAGAGCCCGGCAAGCTACCGAGAGTATCTTGTCCGCATGGCAAAGCCTGGCAAGCTACCCATGATGTATTCAATATGCCAAAAACAGTAACAACTGTAGCACTGTCCTCCCATTGTTTATCTATTTGCTCTAGAGGGTCCAGTAACATTTCCATTGTGAGACTTGTTGTTACTGTGTTTGGCATATTGAATACACGATGGGTAGCTTGCCAGGCTTTGCCGTGTGGGCGAGATACTCTCGGTAGCTTGCTGGGCTCTCCAAGAGGGGTGAAGGAATCCAACTCGGGTTGGCCATGTCGGCAGAGTGCAAGGCAAACACCCTACCGCTGTGTTATCACTCCAGCCCCAAACAAGTCTCACAATTTGTTGTGAGACGTTACTGGTGCCCTCTCGAGTAAATATATGAACAATGGGAGGACAGTGCTACAGTGCTACTGTCTACATTAAGTGAGAACTTTACTTCTTTACTTGCTTTAACTATACAATATGCTTCCAATGCTTACCTATAACCCCTCTGAACACTCCAGCATTGCAATCCCAATGCTCTCCAGCAGGTGGACTATTCAATTCTTCTATCCACTAAGAGCCATCTTAATTGTGATTACAGACAAATTATTGTGTCGTCTAAGACAACTTAGTGATGTTCAGTGGGTTCATGTGTAGAACCTGTCCTCAATAAATATGACTGGTTCCTTTAGAAGCCAATTAAAGCAGAAAACTTGAACAACCTCCTCCTCAACCACCCTGTTTTTGTTGCTTACCATATCTTATATCCTGAGCACATTATCTACTCTACCTCTTTTACACAGAATTAGTGAATTACAACAAAGGAAGTGCACAATGTTTTAAGATGAGGAAACTGAGTCTCCAAAGAAGTGAAGCAGCAAAAAGAATGTGGGTCAAGCAGTATGAAATTAGACTAAAGTCTGAGTTTACAGTTTCTGCTCTGCTAATCACCTGTTAGATACTTTATTCTTGGCCCCCATCGGACTTGATTTAGTCTTTTATGGAAATTCTAAGGAGCTACTTCCCTTGATTATACCTCAGAACCATTCCTCAGTTCAACTAGAACAAGAAAAAAGATTAATATCTTACCCCCAAAGTTCTTCAGCTATCAAGACACCAACAAAAACTTCCACTCAGCTCCTATTAATAGCTGCTGTGTGGTAAGGATCTGCCTTTTTCTTATAAATATCTTATTCACAGCTAATTAAATATTTTCACTACTTTTGAAAACCCTGCCAGCATATTTTCTTCACACAGTTCACACTCTGTGCAGCCAACTCTCCATAGAACACAGTGAGATTCTTGGACAGTGAAACAAACTATGTACAATGAGCTTGCGGAAGGAAGCTGAAGAGATTTTTTTTTCAATGTGATTTAGACACTTTCTTAACATTTATATCCATTCTTAAAAATTACCAGGGGAATATTCTAGGGGAAAGGGCAGTTCAGATAGAGAAGGGAACACCAAATGAAAGGTGTTTGGAGGATCCTCCCAGGAGGGGAAATGCATGTTGAAAGTAGAGTATGGACTGAACATGTTTGCCACTCAATGCCTCTTTTGCAGACCACAACACCCAAAAGGAGAGAGAGAACAAAGAGGAATGCCCTGCCACAGAGGCAGGGTAGGAGGGGGGGTGGGGGGAAATGGGCACTGGTGGAGGGATGGGTATTTGATCATTGTATTACCGAAACTCAGTCACAAAGATTTGTAAATCTACAACTGTACCTCATGGTGCTTCACTAATAAAAAAAAAAAATACCAGGGGACTCTGCATAAAAGCCAAACGTTTTGCTTCTATCAAGTAGAAAGGATTCCATGTTAACATTGTGAAGTATCTCCACTTACACTAAATTACTAGAACAAGTAAGTGATTCCGGAGAAATGTTGGGATATACAAAGTAAAATAGGACCTTCGTCGCCAGTTTTTCCCTGATTTGCCCGAGGCCACCGAAGTACCTGGTGCTGAGAGAAAACTCGTTTCTCCTCCTTAGGCCACTCCCCTGTCCCGTCCCACCCTTGCGACCACACCTGAGGAATCACGCTTGGCGACAGATGTAAGGGCAGGGCTAGGGGTGGAATTTTTGGTACTGCTTTACTGCTGACACGTACATTTTATTGGGAGAAAACTCAAAACAGTCCCTGAAAAAGAAAAAGAAAAAGCAGATTTAAGCCGATGACCGGAAAGGGGACAGCCCACCGCGGACTGCATGCGCTGCAACGTGGGGGAAATTAGGCCTTTTCCAAGACAGAAGCGAGCGAGCGCCCTGTGCTTATCCAGAAAACACTCTCGGCGCTCAGACCCGAGCAGATTGCCCGGACCCCAGAGATTAATAAAACCTGCCGTCTAATCGCCACCGAGAGGGAACGGCGGGCCTATAGATAGATAGTGTCGCTGTGCAAAGTGCAAAGGTGGCGCGTAGGAGGACGAGCAGAACCTGCTTTTGGGTCCACTCCCCTGGAGCGCGCCAGCACAGCGTGGCCCCCAGGGCAATCTGCAACGCCGGTTTCAACCCGCTAGACACGGAGGGGGTCTCTTCGGTTGCAGAGGGGACCTTCCTCCGACAACGGGGGTTGGAGGTGGGGGGTCTTGTTGAGTATTGACGTGGAGTGGCTCGGATGACACAGTGCAACGTTGAATCATCAGAAACCGTCCTTGGGTGCTGAAGGAGGGCAGCGGCGTGGGGGGAGCGCAAAGGTGCGCGCGCGCGCGGCCGGCTACCTTCGGGGGGTCCCCGCATCTGCTCCGGCCACTCCCGGAGCAATCGGGCTGGGCCGCGGGTTAAACTAGCCTACACCGGGCGTAACCGGAGCCCGGCCCCGCCTCTCCACCCCGCGCACCCCAGCCCGGCCCTGCAGGTCGGGGCGGTGCCCGGGTGACTCACGGGAATCGAGGAGGGGCCCCCGGCGCCCGGCCCCCACGACGCGTCCCCGCCGGGAGCCGCCTCCCCCCGGGCCTCTTCCCTTTTGTGGCGCTGCCCGCGCTCGCGGAACACTCTGTGCCCGCATCTGTACCCCGCGCGCGCTCCTCCCGCACCCCGCGCGCTTCTCCCGTACCCTGCGCGCTCCTCCCGCACCCCGCGCCGCCGTCGAGATGCTGCGCTGCGGCCTGGCCTGCGAGCGCTGCCGGTGGATCCTGCCTCTGCTGCTGCTCAGCGCAATCGCCTTCGATATCGTGGCCCTGGCCGGCCGCGGCTGGCTGCAATCTAGCAACCACATCCAGACGTCCTCGCTCTGGTGGCGATGCGACCACGAGGGCGGCGGCGCCGGGTCGCGGGAAGATGGTTGCGAGAGCCTCATGGACTACGGTGAGTTAGTTGTCAGCCCACCCGCTAGACGCCGAAGTCCGCCGGCCTGCGCCGGGCCTGTCTTGCACCAGCGTCCTGGGAGCATTGGATCCTTGGTCCAGCGTCCGTTGTCAAAATCAATGATCCCGGGGGAAATGGGCGATGAAAAGAAAAATCTATTTAGATTTTATTTTGGGAGGGGGAAAAATATAGATCTTATTTCAATTTATAGATCAGATCTGAATGGCTAAAGCAGAAGCGACGGGAGCGGCTCAGCCCAAGCTCCAAATGGGAAGACTAGTCCTTTGTATGTTTGTGTGTTTGTAGAGCTGATCAGTTGCGGGCAAAGGTGATCTCAGTCACTGATAAGGTTTGGACCCACAATTATAAAAAAAAAGTATGATGTCTTGAAAGTCTAGAGAAATTTCTTCCCATTCACTTCCTCTTCTGGCTCTACCTGTGATTCAACGGGAGGGCCTGTGATTCAAATGTCTTAAAATTGATCGAATTCTAATTTGCACTGTAATCCTTCACCTTTAACTAAGTGAAAGCAAATCTTCCAGGAAAAGGGCCCTTTCAACCAAAGTTTTAGCAATTATGATTTCAATTCTGGAGTATATTAGATGTCCAAAGAATTCTCGTTAGCTTTTTATTTTTTTGAGTGTCTTTTTTGATTTCTGTGCGCTTAGAAAGCATATATGTTTTAATCTTATTTGAAACTACAAAAGCAGGCATATATATAGTCTACATCAGTGAAATGAAGCAGGCTTGACAAATTTAATACATTGCAGCTGGAGTTTTTGTTGCCATCATTTTTCAGCATAGAGAATACCTCATCGTGTGATTTATAAATCTACCCACCTCATTGGGGTAGGTGTGAAGAAATTGGGTGTCTATTATGATTAGCGAAATGGAGAGAGGCATGGGACCACTTAAGTCTAAACATGATCTGAATCTGTGAATGACAAATATTACTGAATGAAGCTTTACCAAATGAGTTTATGCATTTTAAAAAAGAAAGAAGGCTACCTGCCTTTCTTCAATCCCTGCCTACACCCCTGACTTCTTTCTTTCCCCACAAGTAACCCAGCCTCCCTGATTCTTTGTGTCTCTGGGGACATATGTTGGGGGTCTTGATGCTTTTTCTTATCTGCTTTGGAATTGTTTGGATGTTCCATCCTGAACTTTCACCCCAAAGGAGGTATAGTTCTCAGCAGCATGTAATAAAATGTGTATGGGTTTTCTATCTCCTTTCAAGTGTGTGGTTTTCCTCTCCTTCAAATAATAGTCACTTGCCAATTTAATTCCAGATCTTCTAGTTTTTTGTGTATTTTTTTGTGTGTTTGTTTTTAAGGGATGCCATTTCTTTGAAAGAACGGTTTCTAGCTAAAATTCACTTGAAGTTGTACTGAACTTAGCAAATCTGCTTGAACAGCTATGTTTTTAAAACAGACTTGAATGATCCGACCTCCCTACAGACTCAGACAGACCCACCTAACTAACACTCAGCAACTCCTTACATGGAAAGTGTGAGTGTTGGCCTGTGCTCTGGGGTGAGGGTGCCAGTAAGCCACATCTGCACTCTTCCTGGGACGTGATGGGGCCTGCCAGGCACAGGCCTTCTCCCCTGCTCTCTTGGGAAACAGGCACAACACAGTGGTTCTTCCTGACTTGTGGGTGAGCTCACCTTCTCAGGGTGTGGCTCTTGCAAGCTCAGACTGATAGTGCTTTGTATTTGGAAGGGAGGAGGCACGCTTGGATTCATAGGGTCATTTAAAAAATTAGATACAAATCAAAAGAGTTTATTTATTTATTTTTGTCACCACACCATGGATTCTCAGGGGACTCTGATGGCAGGGATTGAACCTGGGGAATCTTACATGCCAAGCTGTACCCCAGCCCTCCCTCCCTTCCATAAAAGCATTAATATCTTTTAAATAAGGGTGAACCGTCTCCCTCCCTTCCATAAAAGCATTAATATCTTTTAAATAAGGAAAATGCTGACTGCTTTAATTTGACCTCAAGGTTGCTTTTTGGAAAAGTTCACTTTTCCAAGTGAGTCTTAGAAAATCTAGTACTATCTTATTGATGTGGCCAAACTTGATTTTCATATATGGGTGGTGGCCTTCATGTCCCAAAGTCTTTATTCTTCTGACCTTTGCAAAGATCTAGTGGCAGTAAAGGGTGGGACATAGATTTTGCATCCAAGGTCCACTGTCAGGAGGGGTCATGGGAAAAAGACAAGAAATACAAAGTCATCAGAGACCCTATTCTCACTTTGTTGTCAAGAAGCTGCATTTGTCACACTCGCACTTGTCCCCTGTCATGCATTGTGGCTTAGTTTTGCTCTCAAGTGTGGAAGTTGTGGATACACTCTGTGGGTTGACAATTTAGGCATTGTGAGCTCTTGAGATTTTCATTTGTTTATATGAGGTTTACCTTTGCTTAAATGGAATAAGAACCTTATATACACTCTTATGTACAGACAAACATCTTGTGAAATAAGCAGTAAGGTTACTGGCTCTCATTAAAATAATTTCTCTAAGTGGGCCCCGCGAGCTACCGAGAGTATGGCAAAGCCTGACAAGCTACCTGTGACGTATATGCCAAACACAGTGACAAGAAATCTCAAAATGGAGATGTTACTGGGCCCAGTCGAGCAAATTGATGAACAACGTGAGGACAGTGTTTGGGTACTTTATTAACTTACTTAAACCATTAAAATCACCAATACATAGTAGAAAATAAATGATGCACCACTGTAGCTGTTAAAATGAAGAGTTTTTTTTAATCATAAAATTCATTTAAAAAAGAACTCCCAGCATCCACATGGCCCTCTGAGCGTTGCCAGGAATGATGCCTGAGCATAACTCATTCAAATTTCATATAATAATAAAATGCAAATTTTAATGCAGATTCAAACATACTGCTTTCCCACTACCAGCAGCTTCTTTTCTAGTTTTGAGGAAAACTGTATTGGGAGGATCCGCCATATAGATTTCAAATCCTAAGCAAGTCCCAACTTATTTGGGTGGAGTAGGATGGAGACAGGTTTGTGAGCTCATAAAGAAAGTGGAGCATCTCTATGACTTCCCTGAACTTGAACCCAGAAGTGCTGAGCCACATTTCCTTCCTTCCTTCCTTCCTTCCTTTCTTTCTTTCTTTCTTTCTTTCTTTCTTTCTTTCTTTCTTTCTTCCTTCCTTCCTTCCTTCCTTCCTTCGTTCCCTTCTTCCTTCCTTCCTTCCTTCCTTCCTTCTTTCTTTCTTTCTTTCTTTCTTTCTTTCCTTCTTTCTTTCTTTCTTTCGCCAAGGAGACCCTTTAAGAACTTTCTGAATTTTTTTTACACTAAATCAACCTTTGGTAGGTCAAAGAATTAGAGTATCACATAATGTTTTTAGGTCAGTTAGCCCCACAATTCTTATATGTACAGAAAAAAATAATAACTCCAAAATTAATGGGTTTACATTAAGCTAAAGAAATTCATTCTGAAATCATGTTTATGTAGCACTCATGGAATAAGGTATTTAAATATTATTATGCTATGACATTAAGCTTGAATAGATACCCTTTAGACTTTTGTTCACTTCCCTACATAGCAAAATTAAAAAGTTGGCCACTCTCAATTGATTTTCTTGACTTATTCCGAACTCTTGTGGGGGGTGGGGGGAGAGTTGGTGCTGGAGATCAAATTCAAGACATCATAGATGGAGTCATGTTTTGTGCCACTGAACTACATCCCTGACCCCTGAAGTTTATAGTTGAAATATATTACACTTATTTATAAAATCAGAAACTATAAAAGCCAATAATCTAGTGCAGTTTGCTCTACTTGCTGCACTTAGCAGTAATAACCTGAGAGGCTTAATCCCTTTTAGTGACCTAACTTATTATTTTTTTAAAGTGACCTAACTTGTTTGAACAGGATGAAACTCCTAGGCTGCCAACCTAGGAGAGAATGAAAACGCACCTTTTCCAACACCCACGACTAATCTGGGGCTCATTCTTTGTACTGCACCTTCATTCCGTTTCCTAGACTGTTGGTTTAAAAGTATTTCCCTTATACCAACTGCCGCTTGCTTCTCAGTGACTTCTAGTTTGCATCCTTTTCCCATCAGACAGACTTTCAAAGATCTGAAAATTCTCAGCTCACTGCTGGTTATCTTATCTCGGTTTAAGGTGCAATTTTCTGCCTTCACATCTTCCCATGTAGGCTGGTTTTCCCTCTCACACTCCAAAAGATCAGAAGGGCTGGCAAGCTTCAGGGTGGTGCAGGTGACTTTTGGGAGCAGGGAGAAGAGAGGTGCAGCCTCAGAGGATCCTACTCTCCCACTTTCTTTTCTATCCATGTCAGTCACTTAGGGAAGTTGAAGGACTGATGAAAGTCCTTGAGTGCCTGCAAGGTACGGACCTTCTCTCACTAGCTCCACTGCATCTGAGTCACGCTTGTCCTCCCCAGCAAGGGAGATGATCTCTGCCACCCCAGGGAAGCTGTGGAACTGAGGTTGCAGTGAGAAATTACTCTTTGCAGGAAAAAAAAAATCAGTCCTAATTTCTACCTGAGGTTCTTTTCAGCACCAGCCATTACCTTTGCAGAAAAGAATTCCAGGAGGAAATGAATAGCGAAATCAAATCGTTTTACTCCGAGGTGATGAGGAAGGAAAGAGAGAAACACATTCCAGGGACAACGAGAGCCTCTCCAGAGGGCAGAGAGCCCTGAATGGCTTTGGGGTTGGAGTTAGACGTGGGTACATATGAAATTGCCTTGACCTGGGGTTTTCTATAGTTCATTCCAATATTGCTGATTGGAGAGGATGGTGGCTTTATTGGGTGACGGGTTGCTCTCTGCAGGGATAACACTTTAGGTGAAATTGGCCATAGACTGCTATGATCAGTGTTTGTTTGGTGTCCCTGTGTAAAACTATACAGGAATGCAGAAAATCCATTTAGAAATGACTGACTTTGAAAAAATACTTCTTTAAAAACAGTCTACCAGAATATTTGTTTTTAAATATTAGCACTGCATTCCTTATCTTAAAAAGTTTTCATTGTTGTTATTGTTTTCACAACCCTTAGTTTGATTTATGAATTCTAAGCTGGACAATCAAGGGATTTATTTGCTTTTACTCTTTTGCTCTTTATCAGTTGATCTTGCTGATCTTTTCCCTGCCATGTTTTCCTTGTTCTATTGTGTTCTCATCTCACCCACGGAGCTGGTGGAGGGCTGCAGGTGGTGGAGGGCTGTGGAGGAGACCGTATTCTTGTGCAGAAAACTGTAAAGCACTGAAAGATTTCAGTAGGGACCCCTGTCTGGTTTGTATGTTGTTGATTTAATGCTGACTCTTTGCTTGGGATTGCAAGATTTGTGAAGTCATATTTCCTCTAACTGGATTTTTAGTGAATTTTTTTAAAAGGAGATTTGTAATGCTGCTTGTTCTTTAATAATATGGATTTCTTTGAGTGGCACTTTGAAAATAAATTTAGAGCATCATAGATTATGTATATAAAATGCCAACAGGATTGTCATTTAAGGACATGACATAGAAGAACAAAAACATTGCCAACCCGAAACAGCATCTGTTTACTTGGTGTATGGCATGTTTTTGTGGGCACTTCAGAGAACAATCATCGACTGAGAATTCTTTATGCTCTTCCTACACACACACACACACACTCACACACACACACACACACAACCACACACTCACACACCACTCCTACAAAAGGCATCGCAATGCAATCACAAATAACAATGTAAGATATGTTTGTTCTCAGAACTATCTCCCTTTAAAGAACAGAGGCCCACCTGGCATATTAGGAATAAGTGGCTTGAGAACAAGTTTGAAAATTTGCTATTTTCCATTGAGATTTGTAAATATGTTATCATTTAGACCACAGCAGAGTTGAAAGATCAAACGAGCTCTTAAAAGCATGTGAGTAAATTTGTCAATAGGAAGCTCATTCTGAGTAACCAAGTGAGATTGAAAGTATTTTGGATACTGAACTTTTCAAAATGTGATCTTGCCCCTCTGGGATAGATTATTGGGCTAGGAGGACCCAGTCCCAACACACAGGGGCTCTGTCATCATTTGAGAACAAAATAGTCATTGACATGAGCAAGCAGATGGCCTTACCTGTCATCCTTTCTCAAAAAATTTAAAATGCCGCCAGGGTTTCTGCCTTGAGTGACTCAGGGCGGGCGTTTCTACACTGAAGAATCAAGTTTGACATGTTCTTTCAAGGCAGCCTTTTTCAAGACACAATGTCTCAATTCTCCACTTTGCTGTTTGAGGGACTCAGCATTTTAAACGCACAGGGCATGAATAGAATTGACTTCAGCTTTTTAAAGTGTATGTTTATATTCATGTGCACCTCTTTCCATTAGATTAGGTGAATTGCCTTACCATTTTATTTAATTCCTTCCACGTATTAGAAACCAAGTCTATTTACCCCTCAGTGTGAATACTGGGAAAGTATTCGGAGTTATGCTGTTTGAGTTATTCTTCCTCAAGTGAGTAGGAAACATAACTTATTCCTTCGTAGAGCAACACCCTCCATTCTTCAGCTGTGCTTTAAAAACCTCCATCTGTGATTGTCCAAGTTTGGTTGCTGAAAGATGCTCCTTTAAGCAGGGTTTATGTTTTTATTGAAAACTCACATCCTGATGCGCAGTTTTCCTTTTTTTGTGTCTCCATGCTTGTACCGGTATATTGCCTTTTATTATAGTTTCCGATATGTGCACTCAGCTTTAGAGGTAACACTGTTTCTGCTGATTTGAATTTAATGGTAGGATTTAATTGAATGGAATGTTTGTATTTAACTGTAATGGAATGATTGGCAGTAGCTGTAAAAACAATAATGATGAGATTTAACATTGCCCCTGGGTCACACGCTGGAAGTGCTGCACCTGTTTTTATAAGGAGATTTAGCATGTTTCATAGCTTGTATTCACCTTTAGGGTATGTGGAAGAAATACCAGTAAAATGCAGCTACTCTTAAACTCAGATTTGTGGGTCTGAAGAGAGGCACCCAACTCTCTGTATTTATTTTTCTTGCTTTGGGGTCACACCTGCTGTGCTCCTGGGCTAGTTTTGGCTGGAGGATTGCTCGTGGTGGTGGTCTGGGGACTCTGGGTGTTGGGAAGCAAACCTGGGCCTCATGCATGCAGGACCAGTGCTGGCCCACTCAGCCACATCCTGGCCCAGCCGTTTATCATTTGACTCAGCACTTCGGACGGTTCTGACTCAGTGATCTACGGACTCAGCTTCATTCAAGATGGTCTGATCTCGTATTCTTTCTAAAATGTCTTCCCTAAATTTTTGAATTTTACCTGATGTTAAGACAAAACTTAGAAAAGAGTCTTACACACTTCACATTTTGGCTTATTTTTTTCTTTAGGGTAAGGTAAAGGTAAAGGCCCTCCCGTTGATCGTCGATTTGCTCGAGCGGGCCCAGTAACGTCTCCATTGGAGACTTTGTTGTTACTGTGTCTGGCATATCGAATACTCTCGGTAGCTTGCCGGGCTCTCCGAGAGGGGTGGAGGAATCGAACTCGGGTTGGCCATGTTGGCCGCTTGTAAGGCGAACGCCCTACCCGCTGTGCTATCACTCTCGCTCTATTTATTTATTTCAGGGGCCATACCAGTGGTACTTTGGGGACCATATACAGTGCCAAGGATCAGATTGGTCTTGGCCTCATGCAAGGCAAGCGCCACACCCTTGTACTTGCTCTTATTTCTATTTTAATATAAAACAGTTCCTGTACCTAGAGTTTTCCGTGTACCTGATATGTAAGTTTTCCATGGATCTGACAGGGAGAGCCATCAACTTTGGAGAAAAGAGAAACTTATAAATAGAAAGTGTGATCTTCTAGTGCCCTCGCAAGCTCGTCTCTAAAGGGGTAATTTGTGGGGAGAGGTGGGATTTCTGTGACGTAGGTTAAAATGAGCCCAGGTGCCCCAATCATTCATGAATTTCAAAGGAAACCTTTAAGCAGGCAAGGAACCTTGAGAAGCAAACAGAGGGATTTGGGATTGTAACAGTTTATGTGGATACAGAGAAACTGTGGCACAGGCATCAAGGAGGCAACACAGCCTCCTGGAGATACTAGAGCAAGTCAGAAGCTTCCAGAACGGGTTTTTGGCACCCCGAGGACTGGAGAATGCAGAGCTGCAGGACTCAAGCAAGAAGCAAAAGCTCTTACCTTGCCAGTGCTCCTGAAGTAAGTCCTGCTGAACCGTGGGTAACAGGAGGACTCACTGGCAGCCAGTTGGTGGCAGCGGAAGTGGATGAGTGAGGTGCAGTTGGCATCAAAGTCTCTTCCCCACCTTCCTTCTTTGACTTTGACCTGTCAAATAAATGCCAGAAGTTAAGTGAGGCTCCATTTATCAGAGAGGCAGTGGAACCAGGGCAGAGGTCATGTGACTTTAAGTTAGGAGGGCTGGTCCTCGGGAATGAATGAAGAAATGAAAGGGGAAACAAGATAGACTATCCACGCACCAGACATTTCCAGGCACGAAGAAGGAATGAAGTACAGACTCACTGCAGCATCGATGAAGCTTCCAAGAGGACTAAATGAAAGAAGACAGCCCTCAGAGGCACAGAGCATGGGATTGCTTTTGCATATAAGATCCACAACAGGCCATTTTGTCAAGAAGGACACAAGATATGGACACAGTTTAAAAACACTGACCATTGAAACTATTGTTTGCGTTGTTTTGATCCCATTCATGAATCAAAGTACATTATCATCGAGTGGAACACAGTTTCTTTGCTTTTGTTTTTCCTCAAATTTTATTCTGGCCCTTTTCAGGTCATTCTGTTTGGGATGATGGCAGTTTTGGAATTGTATATGTTGTGTCTCTCCACCTTTGTGGACACCCCAAAACGATATACTTTGAAATGGTATATTTAAAGATATGTTGATCAAATCTGGGGGAAAAAAGACTCATGTCTTGGGGCTGGAGAGATAGCACAGAGGGTAGGGCGTTTGCCTTGCACGTGGTCAACCTGGGTTTGATTCCAGCATCCCATATGGTCTCCCCAGCACTGCCAGGAGTAATCCTGAGTGCAGAGGCAGGAGTAGCCCCTGAGCATCACCGGGTGTGACCCAAAAATAAAAAAAAAAAGACTCATGTCTAGATTCAGATAGGTTTGCATGCTGAGAATTCAAACAGGATCAGCTACATGCAAGTGACCTGCCCACTTTTTAGCTCTCCAGCCCCCCTAGTCTGTGTTTTCAATGATTCTTTTTGCACAGAGGACCAGACAGTACAGAGTAATAATCTTCTTAAGAAGCATTTATCAACTGGGCGCCATAGGCCACAGGGATATTCCACGGGAACCACAGCTGAAACTTGTATAAATGGGGGCACACAGCAGAGTCTGGGGGCAAGCAGAAGGACAGCGCAGGTCACAGGAAGGGAACAAGGTTGGAAGGGGGCCATGATTAGAAAAAGGATGTGAAACTATTCTAGAAGTACTTGACATTTTCCTAAGGAGATTTTAATTTATGTTGATTTATGATTGTGTCAGGACTTGGATAAAACTTTTGAGTGCATTCATAAAGTTTAACTTTCATTTCTGAGCTAGAACGTCACCTCCAAACTGAGGGGAGGCTGCATTCCTCCGTTGTTCCACCAGCCCTTCCTATGCACTTTCTATGGAGATGCTCTGGCATTGTCCAGTGATGATCTGCCCTTCCATCCACATAGAATGAGAGGGAAATGAAAATCCCACTGATGTGTTGGACATGTCCCTCTCCCTAATGACTGTTCTTTCTTTCTTTTTCTTTACAGCATGGGGAAGGGCAGCAGCTGCCATGCTCTTCTGCGGCTTTATCATCCTGGTCATCTGCTTCATCCTCTCCTTCTTTGCCCTATGTGGACCCCAAATGCTTGTCTTCCTGAGAGTGATTGGAGGCCTCCTGGCCCTGGCTGGTAAGACTGCCTACTGATACCTTTATTCATTTCCTCTAGTGGATTTCAACTGAGTAACCAAGAAGATCGCTGATGATCACAGTTCCTGTTCTCAGAAAGTGTAACCCTCAAGGGCAAAAATTACTGAGATGTGCTGTAAGCTCTGGCTCCACTGTCCATTGCCTTCTGGGCCTTTGCAAGGAATGTGGGCCTCTCCTTCCAGTACAGAGTAGAACTCTGCATGTTGCCCTCTGTCTGGTGACTTCAGGTCAAATTCAATCCCCATACTGAGACCCAGGGCTGTCTGCCCCAGAAGTGTGTCGATTATAGTCCCTCATGATTCATGCAGGCCTCCTGGGAGTACCACATGCAGTGAAGACTTATTGAAGCAGTTTTATGTGATCTTATATCTTTGGGTCATGAAAGGATTTTCTGCAGTGTGAGGCAGGCATCTCTAGAGTGCCCAAATCAGAAAATATCTCAAAGCATCACTGAACCTATGTTGGGGGACAGGGCATTTAGTTGTAAAGTAGATGGGGATCCAAGTGAACATGTATTAGTGAAATAGAAGAACAAGGCATCTAGTACAAGAATTCTTGAAATCTTTAGCAGATACCTGGCATAAGGGAAGTTGGTGAAAGGATCAGGGCATGGCCGCAGAAGAGGATTTTGGAACCAACTGGGTTTTGGTGAGGAGGAGAAAGAGACAAGTGCCAATGGGGCAGAGTGAGCCCACAGATCTTTCCTTAAGCTACCAAATTCAAAGATTATGGAACTGAGACTGATTTGGAGGAAAGACCAGTGATCTTGTGAGTTGAGGGGCTCTGTAATTCAGTGTGAGCATGAAGAAGACCACTTGCACTTCCTGGCCTCAGGAAGGGGGCTTGCAGAATTGAGGGCAGGGAAGAGAAGAGGTGAGAGGCCCTAAAGGAGAGGAAGGAAGAGTAGCCAGTGCTGGCCTATCCCTATCCTGAATATGTAAACATATCTCTTGATTAAAGGTAAGGTTTCCTCCAGTGTTCCTTTCATTTCAAAGTGTGCCCTAAGGATATTTAAAAATCAGAAGTGGCTTGGTGTCACAAATATATGCCGAAGCTTGTTGAATCCCATCTTACTTTTTGACATTTTATAGTTCAAATTCATAAGATCCTATGAAATAAACACATATGTATGACGTCCTTTATTATGTTTTATACAGAAGGATGGATGCTGGTTTAAATCACCATTAGAAAAACACGGAAAGACATTAACATTTGTGAGACATTCCCAGTAAATGCCAAAGTCAGTAATTCTACATTGAGTTATAGTATAAAAATAATTGAGAGGAGGGATTTGAACAGACATTTCTGATGAACAACCAAAGTGTTCACCAACAGAAAAAGGATAAACTGTAGTGCATATCTATAGTGGAATATTGTTCAGCCATAAAAAGAAATAAGGTTCGATATATTCTCAAACTTGTAAGGATTAGGAAAATATTATATTGAGATATATGCAAAAGAACAGATAGTACATGATATAAAGTACCTGGACTAAGTAAATTCATAGGAATATGAAGGAAACTCAGGCTACTAGGGACTGACTAGCTTACTGGACTGACTAGCTTACTAGAGAGAGGTAAGGGAGATTTATGTTTGAATGCCCAGAATTAACAGTGGGGATATTAAAAAAGCTTTAGGAATAGGTGAAGTTGATAATTGCACAACGCTGTGCATATACTTAATGCCATCAATTGTATACATAGATTAAGATGCTTAATACTAAGTTGTTTATATTGACCATAATAAAAAGCAATCCTAGTGAAGCATGTTTATCTTAATACTAGTACATTCAATTCTAGTAATAGCCATTTTGAGCTGACCAGGTTTCAGGAATTATTGTTGTAAAGAAATTATTTTTAATTTGACTATCAACAGATACCCAGCCTTCTGTTTGACTTGTAACTCTAATTTCTCAATTAGGAACATCTACATCTTTTATAGTAATTAAAAAAATTTAAAAAAGAAAGTGACTTTAGTATAAATTTGTGAAGATAGTAGGAAAAATTAAGATGAAAGAAAAATGATAGTGAGGAATATACTTTTCCTGATGCTTTCCAGCATGCACAATCAGCTGGTTTCTCTTGGTCAAGAGTAAGTTTTTGATATGAAAAGAGTTAAAATTGTCTTTATGGAAATGGCAAAGTCCATATTAAGTTAAATTTCAGAAGATGGTGTGATGTATATATGTTGTCATTATAACTTTACAAAAGTATTCCTGTTTGTGAAAAAATTTGACTACAGTAAGAGTAGCTTTAATAAAATTATTTTTAAAGTAGTTTAAAATTATAACACAATAATTACCAATAACTGTATAAGTATAATTTATATCAAAGAGTATAGAAACCTTGATATCTTTTAACCTCCTTACACTTTCCTTAAAGCATTATTGTCCTTTCTTTGAGTTCTATCCTCATAATATTCAATAATTTTCTTTTTTCTGTCTTACGATTTACTAGGTTACCCCTTGTCCCTTTCACTAGCATTATGAGTTTAAGACTTATTTAATAGCACAAATTTTGTGGAAGTGGTAATATGTTTTGCTATATGTATATTTACTTATTCATACATGTATGAAATCATTTAATGGGATTCCCCCCCCCTTCTCTCTAGCTGTCTTCCAGATCATCTCCCTTGTAATCTACCCTGTGAAGTACACACAGACCTTCAATCTTCATCTCGATCCTGCTGTCACTTACATCTATAACTGGGCCTATGGTTTTGGCTGGGCAGCCACCATCATCCTGATTGGCTGCGCCTTCTTCTTCTGTTGCCTCCCCAACTATGAAGATGACCTGCTGGGCAATGCCAAGCCCAGATACTTCTACACGTCTGCCTAAGAGGGGGAAGTTGCTGAAGACTGTTCCTACTGCCAAAATACATCCCAGAGGAAGAAACTGTCTTCTCTAGCATACTTTAAACCTTTTTGGGGACAGTGCTTAGATACTAATTTTGGTAAAATATTTTTAAATTGTATTACAGTTTCATATTCATCTTTTCTGTTTTGTAGAGTTTATTGAGACTTATCTAACTGTAATTTGGCAATATTTCATTTGTATCCATACCATTTACACTGCCTTAATAAAATAATAGGAATGTCAAACTTACCACTTTATAAGGTAAAAAGGAGAAGGTTTCAAAGATTTATATAATCTGATCAAATCTTCCTTCAGTGCCCACAACTCTATTTTTTTTAAGCCAGATGGTATGGTCTGGGTTGTTAAGGACTAAGGGAAACATATCTAAAAATTGATTAAAATTGACCAGTGACCAAATACTCTAAAATAAATACAAAAAATGTGTGTAAGCCCTTTTCTATTTAATAAAGCAAAGTTTTCCTGAATGCATATCATGTGTGAGACTTTCCGATTAATATCTTGAACAAGTGACTCTTTGTTAAGCTCACATTAACTTGGTATGTTGTATAAAAAATATTTTTTTTCATGGCTTTGGCCTATTATAATAGTAAGGACTCCTTATGTAAGACATATTAAGATGAAATTTTCTCTTTTAAGTGGTCTGTAGGATTGGGGTATAGGGTAAACTCTATATTAATAGATATGTGCTATTTGGAGTCTATATGCTCACAACCAGAGTAAACAGGCTGGAATATAGATTGACTCTAATTTATCTGGACTGATACATAAGAGTTTTAACAAAGCATTCAGAGAGCTATGACTGTCATAAAGTTAATATGTAAACGGCGTTACAGGTAGAAATGGCTTAAATTTTCATCTCAGGTTTTACGGGGCTCTGAACATGTAGACGCAATTTCTAATAGATAAGTAACTGTAAACAAAAACTTCATTGTAATTCAAAACCTGGTCTCTTTGGTCAACTGATTTAAACTATCTAATGTTAAAACGTGCAAATAATAACATGTTATTATTATTATTTTTTACGATTTGTACTTTCATAATGGAAACCAATTCATTTTATATATCAAATAACTATTTTGTAAGTTGAAGAATAAGCAATTGATGTTTTCATTATGAATCTTTCCCAATAAACCAGGTATTCTAACTCTTGTTTCTGGTTTGGTGTTTTGGGGGATTGTTTTGAAATCTGGAAAGGGAACTTTTCTTTCTGTAAAAATATTTTTAATTTTTTTGGTTTGCAATGGTTTTTCATGAACATAATTCCAGCACCACAACCATAACCAGTGAGCACATCTCCCTCCTCCAAGGAATCCAGCCCTTCTTCTCATCCCCCCAATTCAATTGTGTAGGTCAGTTGCTCTCTTACGTTGCCTTTGGATCTTTGTTTCTACCTAGTTGTGTATCTTTAAGTCCCACACATGAGAGAGATCATTCTGAATTTGCCCCTTTCATTCTGATTGATTTCACTCATTCATGATATCCTCTAGTTCCATCCATGTTGCTGAAAATTGCATGATTTTGTTCTTTCTTAAAACTGAATAGTATTCTGTTGTGTGTATATATACACCACAACTTCTTGTTCCATTCTTCTGTAGTTGGACATTTGGGTTGTTTCCATATTTTGGCTATTGAACTAAGTGCAACAATTGAACATACTTATGCGCTTGTCATTTGTAATTAATATTTTTGTGTTTGGGGATAGATGCCAAGAAGTAGGAAGGGAATTTTTAAAATGTGCCTTTAATAAGAAAGTAAGAACATTGGATAAAATGGAAAGTGGCCCTTTCTTCATTTTCAGCGTCTTGCTCTTCTTAAGTGTTTCATCACAATTTTAATTGAGAGAGGCTAGGCCTGGACCACTTACCATGATACTCAGCCAATCAATACTAGGTCCTATGATGCAGTGGAACACCAGACCACTCCAGCTGTGTTGGGGATATTCAGGGCTTCACTGGTTATTCTTGGGAGACCATATGGTACCAGAGGTTGAATCCTCTGGGTGCATACTAGACATGTGCTGTAATTACTGTACTATCTCCTGGAACCAATAACAAGTTAAATGCATTTGAATAGATTCTCATAGCCTAGTCTTTAAACATCTTCCTCCATGAACAGTACCCTATAACAAATACCAAACAACAATTATTTGGCACAGCTATCAGAGGGAAATGGACTGTGAGATTTATGGTTAGGCTGAATGTCAGACTGTTGAACAACTTCCTCTTGAAGAGGGGACCTCCTGCACTCAGAAGAGCAGCCAGCATTCTCATCTTTCCACCATTTCCCACCTTCCTGATGGATTGATTCCCCCAACTCTCACCTTTGGTCATAGTTCATTTCTACTTTGGTGTGTTGAAAATTAAAGAGCTACTGCAGAGCAATGTGGGGGAAGATGGAGAGAGATTCATGCTCGGTGTTCACTTTTGGCCAGGGGGACCCTGCAGTGGGGTTTTCTCCCATGCTTTCAAGTTCTGCAGTGGATGTTTCTCGTCATAAGTGCAGAAGAATACAGTTTGTATGATTACAGCACCCTAGTTAAGAAAATCAAATCTGGGTCTCTCTCCTTCTCATTTCACGTAAGTCACCTCCAGGAGGCATGCCTGATATGTGGAAGCCCCACGTTTGATCTCTGGTACCACAGGTGCCAGATGAGGAAACTTAGGAAACAGCAGAAAGTGGAAAAGTCTGAAAAGAAGTGAGCAACATACCAGAGAGCTATGGGATGAGTTCAAGAGGAAAAATATATGAATTATTGGAATCTCAGAAGAATAGTAATGCAAATATAATTAAGAAACAACAGTTAAAGAAATTATCAATAAGAACTTCCCAGAGATCCAAGAGGCCTGAAAGGTCCCAGAGAAAGTAAAACCAATTAAAAATAACTCCAAGACATGTTATACTCAAAATGACAAAATCCAAAGATAGAGACAGAATATTGACAGCAGCAAGATAAAAAAAATAAAACTAATATACAAAGGAAAATCTATAAGATGTATCTATAAGATGTACAGCAGATGTATCAAATGAGCCAAAAGAATATGAAAGATTATATTACAAAAACTAAATGAAATTAATACCTCACTGAAGATACTCTATCCGGAGAGATTATCATCAGATCTGAAGGTTCAATACAGAGCTTCATGGAAAAGCAACAGCTTAGGGAATTTATAACTTTAAAACCAGTTTTTCAAGAAGCATTGAAAGAGTTCCTTTGACAGGAGAAACTTCCCATTATATGGCGTTAAGTATGGTATTTATAAAACCCAGCTCCCGGAAGAGAACAGCACAGAGTCTCCTGCCCCCGCGCCTGCCTGTCCTCACCAGGGCCCCTTGGAGGGGAGTGGGTTGAGTTTCCCTCCCCACCCCAACCAGGACTCTGGCAGCTGAAGACCTCCGGAACCAGCCACCACCATGCTGAGACCACTCTCCACACTCATGAAGGTACCAGCAGAGGAACAAAGGCATGCGGGTCCCGGGGCTGAGATCTCCAAGCCTGCTCGGATCGGCGCTCAACATCTTCCACCCAGATCCTCCATATTCTGTAGGCAGGGGTCACCAACTGGCCCCGGCGCCATGTAATCCCATCAAAGGCCAAGACTTGGAGACTATAAACCCAGCTCCCAGAAGCGACATCTTATTATCTCACTCTTACTTTGGGCAACCTGCCAAGTTACCAAAAATTACCTGCCCACATGGCAGAGTCTGGCAAACTCCCTGTGGCGTACTGAATATGCCAAATACCAGTAACAATGATGGGTCTCATTCTCCTAACCCTGAAAGAGCCTTGAATATGGCACTTTTTAAAAAGTCTCAGGGCTAGGACGAAGGAGACATTACTGGGGCCTGCTCGAGGCAATCGACGAACAACAGGATGGTCGTGATCGTGATCATGAAGTACGGCATTCACTATTGTTGCATATGACTGTCCTCTACTAGATTAAGAAAGGCTAAAAACATAGCAATCATCACAAACTTTTATTGATTTATTTTCTGATAATTCTTATTGCTGTTCTTTTAATTTTTTTGGACCAAGTAATATAAAATAAATTTGTTATATGCCTACCAAGGGATTAAAAAAAAGCTTCATTTATGACAGGGAAGATATGGTTATCACAATAAGATCCAAGCTCAAAATCAAATTTAATGCAATATATTTTAGATATGAAGGTTGAAAACTTACTTATATAAATGAGAATAGGCAGTGTACCATATTATAATAAATGATTTGATTTTCTCTATTTATGTAGATTAAAATAAAATAGCAATCAATCATTACAAATTGGCTTTTGTTGATTTATTTTCTGATTTATTTTCTGGAGCGATAGCACAGCGGTAGGGCATTCGCCTTACAAGCGGCCAACATGGCCGACCCGAGTTCGATTCCTCTGCCCCTCTTGGAGAGCCCGGTAAGCTACCGAGAGTATTCCATATGCCAAACACAGTAACAACAAAGTCTCCAATGGAGACGTTACTGGGCCTGCTCGAGCAAATCGACGATCAACAGGAGGGCCTTTATTTATTTTCTGATAATTCCATTTGCCATTTTAAAAAATTTTGTTGGAGCATATAAATGAAATAAATTTGCAGGAAATTGGCAGGAAACCTTGAGATACTGGTGAAGGGGAGGGGACATTGGTGGTGGAACTGGTGATGAAACATTGTGTGCCTGGAACAATTCTGTTATGAACAACTTTGTAAATCATGGTGTCTTCATAAAAAATGAGTATAAAAAGAAAAATAAATCTTTGGAACTGGAGCAATAGTAAGGTTAGTAGAATGCTTGCTCTGCACATGCCAACCTAGGTTTGATCCTTGGTACCCCATATGGCCCCCAAACTTACTAGGAACTATCCTTGAGTACCCCAAGGTGTGGTCCAAAACCAAAATCTGTGACAGAGGATATACATTCATAATTAACGATGTTTAAAATGCCCTCTCTGGGTCAGAGTGGTAGTACAGTAGGTAGGACATTTGCCTTGCAAATGGTTGACCTGGGTTTGACCCTGGACATCCCATATGGTCCCCTGAGTACCCTTAAGAGTAATTCCTGAGTGCAGAGCCAGGAGTAACTGGCTGTAAATCATCATGTATGACTCAAAAAGCAAAAAACAAAAACAAAAACCACCCAAACACAAAACAAAACAAACAAACACAAAAACCCCAATAAAATGCCCTTTTCTAGGGACCAGAGATTAAGACATTTGCCTTGTACTCAGCAAACCTCAGTTCACCCAACACGCAGTCACAGAGCTGGGAAGAACCCCTGAGAAAAATTGCTGCTGGGTGTAGCTTCCAACCCTAAAGAAGTTTGAAAAAAAATGCTGTTTAAAATTAGAGCTTAGAGCTTATCTAATTCAAGAAGATAATACATATTTAGAGATTAAGAAATGTAGTCTTTTCTAAGAAAACAGCTCTCAGGTGCAAGGTGCTTTATGCAGAATCAAAAGAAAATTGGTGTCAGCACCAGCAATTCAATTCAGGTCTTCTGTATCGATTTGCTTGAGCAGGCCCAGTAATGTCTCCATTGTGAGACTTCTTGTTACTGTGTTTGGCATATTGAATACTCTCGGTAGCTTGCCAGGCTCTCTGAGAGGGGCAGAGGAATCGAACCTGGCTTGGCAGGGCTGGCTTTGTGCAAGGCAAACTCCCTACCACTGTGCTATCACAGAGCCAGACCGCGGACCCTACAAGGTCTAGAGAGTGTGAATTCTTGTTTTTTAAATTTTCCTCATCCAACATTTTTCTGTCCTCAATAAAACGCTATACCCCAGAGGCATACATAGGGAAAATGGAGCTTTCTGGGATTAATGAGCTGCTTTTACAGAAGTATTTCAACTTGAAACATTTGTGATAGAGACACACTAACCACAGATACTGTGACTAAAATGTCGCACTTCTTGTGACCCTACTTCAAATGTAGAGGTCCTCCATTCCTTGGTTCCCATTCATGGGGATGGAAACCTTAATGATATAAGCAAAGCAGGACAATTCCAGAGAATTCAAGAATGTAATGAAGCATTTGGCTGCAGAACTATCTGAAGACGGCGCATTGCCCAAGATTTCTCATGGTAAAGCTGAGGTCGTTTTTGGCTCTGTAATTATATGAAGAGGCCCCACCCTTTAAATAAGCAGTTGTAGGTTCTCAACCA